CAGACGAGCAAAAATAGTTTATCCGATTTTATAAAAAACTGATTGGCCATTGGTTAAGTTACCATATCCACTATACATTACGATATCATGATATCCTCACACGTGTAGTTTTATGTCAATCTTCTAAATTAATTCGGTTCCAAAAAATATTAAGTTTCTCCTGCTAAATTGTTCAGATTGTTGAAGACATTCCAAAACCTCTACCGTTCAACCTTCCATTGGTTCTCATAAAACCTCAAGAGGCATGTTCCACAGCTGAAGTATATAAGGTAATAGATATTATAGTTAAATGGATTTTTTAAAATTAATTAAATATTAATTTTAGAATCAAATTCTTTAAGCTAACGAGTTTTGATTTCTCAGCATCTCACATTGGATCGAACAAGCAAGGTGGATCCTTTGACCTTGCTAGAGAAGATATCAAGGAACGGAATATCTCAAGATGTTTGCATCAATGATCTAGGTACGTAAACACAAAATGCTCTTTTCATGCATGCATGTTTTTTATTACATCGAATAGATAGGGGCAATGTTTTTTAGCTGAATGGTTTTGCACTCTTTTTGTGGTGTAATTAATTATCATAACTTGAACGTCTTTTATGCGTATGTTGCAGAACCTCCTGCTTTTGAAGTCCTTCCTTCACTAAAAAGATTAAAACAGCGATTAGTTGCCTTAGGTCGAGGACAATACGATGCCGTTTTCATGTCCGGGAGGTACATTTAGCTGTCATTTTTTGGGTATCTTAAAATTCAGTATTTATGCTTTTTAAGTTGGTAGTTTGGCTGAATATTCTGTGTACTTAAAAAATTTATTGTACTCGCAATTTCAATAATATGTCACTTGGACCTGAATTTTAGTTATAATATTATAATCCGAACCCCTTTTTCTGATCGTTCGAGAAAAATGATTCATTCTCTTCATAAAAAACAGGAAGGATCAAGATCAAACCTTATTCCATGGTATTTACCCTTTTATAATCCTAACCCTAAAAAACCAAAGCTATTACATATCGACTTCTACGAAAAGAAAGTTATATTTTTTCCTCACCCTTTTCTTTTTTAATTATGTTCTAAGTCATACATAAATACTAGAAATACTGTGATAGCGACACCCTAATTAGCATTTTCCAGCCGTATTGAACAAATTCTAATTCGATCTGGTATTTCATTGTAAGAGACGAAGCAAAAGTAAATGATTTATGTTTTCTTGGGGTACATATACGATAAATTATAAGGCATAATTGGTACACATTATTGGATAGATGGACATTATAGTTACCTATGTATGTATTCAGTATCTGAATTATACGTAAATTTAACTTTGCTTTCCAATTCTACATTTTTGCGTTCAATTCAGGATTACAACTCAAGTGTTTTCATATTATGATGCAGTGGAAGCACTATAGTCGGGGTGGGTTCTCCAGACCCCCCTCAGTTTGTCTACGACGATGAGGAGTACAAAGACGTGTTCTTATCAGGTAAACCTCAGATTACTTTCTTGTGATCAATTCGCTTCAGGTAAAACCAGATTACCCGAATATGGTCTCTATGTTCATAGAAGTAGATTCATAATTGGCTTTAATTCAGTAATATAGGATTAATCTACTTGTAGAAAGTTTGGTAAGGGGGAGAGAGCAATAGACAAACAAGTACCAAACATGAACTGAGTCCTTAGGCAGTGTTCCTCGACGAACTCAAACTAGTTGCTAGCCATTACAGGTTTTCGATAGCGAGAATAACTTGCTCTCTGCATTATAAACAGATCTTATCTGATGGTCGAAAGATACCATACCCGGGTTCTATTCTATGCTCTCGTAGAATCACACTGCAATCATTCGCACACGTTTGCTCCTTGTGCTTTCTTTGACATTTTAATTCGTTATGAATGCAGAAGCCAGCTTCATCACTCGTGTAGAAAATCAATGGTATACAGAAGTTCCTATGGATGCTTCTTCTTCATCATCAATGGAGTTTTCCCGGTCTATTGAATAGTATGCCTTCTTGAAATACGTGGAACTGTCTTCTTGTAATTCATCACAATTTCTATTTTAAGATTGTAGTTTTTCAATTGTCGACCAATGTGCTTATTTATACAACGTGGAAGATTATAAAATAGAATCTTGGGTCATAGATTGTGATTCGATTCGTGATGAAGAAAGATGATTCTTAATTCAATTCTCTGCCTTAATTATATAAAAATGATTGAATAAAAAGTTGAACCGACATTCTCAAGCAAATATAACAAAGTAATAAAATTATGAGTTCTTCATGACCCGATTAGTTGTTAATTACTGGTTCTTAATTCAATGATCTTTTTCCCTTTTTTATTACATTCCTTTTAAATTAAACTACGAGGTTTCAACTTTTTATTTTCGCATCTCACAAAGGAAAAATAACAAATAAATAAATAAATAAATAAATATATATATATATATTTGTTCTCGCGTTGAAATCATTTATGGCAGAATCAAGTTGCTAAAAATTAAAAATGTCACTACTATATAAAAATGACAATGTTTCACTACTGTAGAAAGAACAGTAGATTCTTCCATTTTGTCTCACTATAACTTTTTTTATTTTTATTTTTATAATTGTTGAGAGAAAGAAACGACATCATTTATCTTACGCGTTGTTGCTTTTCCTCAATTTAGGCGGCGTGGAGGATTATGTTATAAAACCTTCTTTACTCTTTCTCCATTTTTACACGTTACAGTTATGCCTCTCTATTTCTCCACACTGTCTCTTTCACCATAGAAAGTTTATTTTTGAGCACATAAGTAAGTTTAAATAAAAACATTATTTTTATATATATACGTAAAAGGTATATAGTAACCATTTGGTTGACCAAAAAATAATATCAATTAAAATGTTTACAAATTGTTTAAACAATAATTTATTGAGGGGGTTAATTCAAGAGTAAAAGTGTGAATTCCATAAATATATGATTGAAAATATGTTTAAAAAATAAATAAATTTTAAAAAATGAAGACCAAACATGTTAACAAATGAATATATTTATTTTTCGAGAAATGAGTTTTTATTATCATTTTATTTTTATCATTAAATGATTCTAATCTTAAGATGTTAGATTGTGCTTTAAAATTACATAATCTATCAAATATAATTTTTAAAATTAATTTTTATAAAATAATATGATTTTATGATTTTTTTTTATTTTTTTTATAGTACAGTAACAATGGAGGCTACACGGAGGCTCATGTTATTGAGGCTCAAAATGAGCCTCCATAATAATGGACACGGAGGTTCATGTTATGGAGGCTCAAGTATGAGCTTCCATAACATATTATATTATAAAATTAATAAAACTTTAATTATTTTATATTTTTTAGTACTATTGTATTATACCTTCCAAAAAAAATCATAAAAACATATTACTTTATAAAACTTAATTTTAAAAATTATATTTGATAGACTCTAACATATTAAGATTAAATCATTTTATGATAAAAATGAAATAGTAATAAAAACTCATTTCTCGAAAAATAAATATATTCATTTGTTAACATGTTTGGTCTTCATTTTTTAAACTTCATTTTTCTTTAAACATATTTTCAATCATATATTTATGGAATTCACATTTTTACTCTTGAATTAACCTCCTCAATAAATTATTATTTAAACGGTTCGTAAATATTTTGATTGATATTATTTTATGGTCATCCAAATGGTTACTATATACCTTTTACGTACATATATAAAAATAATATTTTTATTTAAACTACTTATGTGCTCAACAATAAGTTTTCTAAAGATATATGGTTGATAGCGTGAGAAAATGGTGAAAAAGATAGTGTGGAGAAATAGAGAAGTATGGTTGAAGCGTGTAAAAATGAAGAAAAAGTAAACCTCTATTATTTTATGTATTTTTATTTTAAGAATATTAAAAAAATTAAGTTGATTAATTGAAACTAAATTATTGTACCGAGAGCCAATGAATGAAA